CCTCACAGGAGGTGACTTGTGCATCAGTTATGTCTCAGTTTGCTTGGCTCTGGTCCTTCCTCCACCTTCCATCAGGACTCCTCCCCTCAGTGCACTATTTGTTGTTCTTCCAGTAACATGACATTTCTCTTTTATGCGTGAGTACGCTTTGTCACTGGCATATACAGACCACACTGGGCACAGTTCCATCCATAATTCTTAACGTCAACTTTCCAGCTCCTGCGCATGATTTGCAATTATAATACTGTCACAGGCAGAAAAGGGATAGGCTAATTAATCATTGCCAGTGAAGCCCTTATTTGCCGGCATGAGTTTTTGGAACAACATGGCTGGGGATAATTTGCATCAGATTATATGCCCTTGCTTTATGTCACTAAAAAGATTTGTTTAGCATCATCATGGTCAGTACACCTCAATATTCTGGAAGTCACGAGGCACCGCTGACTAGCCCAGCTTCATGCATTCCTGTTCAGCGAACGATGTCCTGGTCATCTGCTTCAGTGTGTGGACTCCAGTGAACACAATATTGGACATGTAGGGGCCAGGCTTTAATAGCATCCACCGTTCTCTGAACTTAGGGAGGGGCCTTTGTGTCACCTACAGAAAATCAGAAAGGAGAGTTTGTCTCTAGAGTCTGTAATAGTCAGTGCTATCTACATGTGTGATTACTCAGATGGATGGGTCATCCGGTGGAACTTTGCATTTGAGACCTAATAAATCAGCACTGGCTGAGACTAATCTGTGTGACATCAGAAAACGTCTCTGCTAGAGAGTCCCGAGTCCACTTGCCTTGGGAGGAGCTCCATTTGCTTCAGGAAGTACGATGGCTTCAAACATTAGGACTCCTCAGAATCATTGAGGATGCTCAGTCACAGAAACTCAAAGGCCTTGAGGCCGCCCTGTTGTTTCTGCTTCATTTCCTCAGTCCTGATCTCTTATTTGTGTTCTATTGACTTCTGATTATATGTAAGTTGTGATTAGCTAGCTCGAAGTGAGCAAACATATTTGTACTCTCACACACACATAACACAAAACAAAACCTCACTGCCACTGAGTTGATTCTGATGCGTCCAGATATCCTATGTGGGACAGGTTCGAACTGCCCCTGGGGGGTTCTGAGGCTGTTAGCTGTTCATAGGAGTAGAAAGCCTAGTCTTTCTCCCAGGCGGCAGCTGCTGCTTTCGAACTGTTGACCTTGGAGTTCCACGTAACTCACTATGCTTCCCGGGCTCCTTATATTACATGGTAGCAGCTACAATTGATTGGATGTCTCTATTTGCCGGGCATGGTGCTCAGTGTTTGACTTAACTGTTTCATTTCATTCTCACCACCATTCCTGTGATGTGGATCTTATTGACCCTGGCTTAGAGATGAGGAAACGGGGCCCTAGAGAAGGGAAATCACTTGCTCAAGGTGACAAATCTCCTAAGAAGCCCACCAGGGTTAAATCCTCGATCTCCTTGAGTCTAATGCCCAGGTGGGTTTCCTTTACATCAGTTGCCTGCGCTCCATTAGAAGCTCATGCTAGCAGATCTCCTGTTTCTTGGCGAGTTCTTGAAGTCCCTCAAGACCCTGGTCAATAGGCTTTGAAACGCCCAACATATATAAGGGCCTCAACGTATGTAAGAGCCTCAACTGGAAAATGTTCCACTGCAAGAAAAAGGGGTCCAGGTGGTCTCTGTGAGCACAAATACTACCTTCAAATACCTTGGGACACGGGGCCCTTGATGGATTTTGTAATTGAAGAGAATCCTACAAATGACTTTTTACTACATTTCTATGAATGTACCAATGTTAACCCCCAAACTCCGTGCCTGTTCTGTGCTGCTGGTGGTGAATGTCCAAAGAAATCAGGGAAAGAACATAAGTGGAGCTCCGTGCTTCCACGTCACAGGCGTGTTCCTTCCGAGGTGATAATAGAGCGTTCAGGGTCATCCAAAACTCCCCAATTTCTCCCGGCATCCAAATACTCAGATTAAGTTTTGATTCCCACTTTGTAAAACTGATTCCCTGTTGATACTAACTGTAGAATGAATACTGGCTTTCAAAGTCACCCGACAGAGGAAGTTTGGACTTAGGTTTGCAAAGCTGAAAGTCACCAATTCCGGTGGCTTGCTCGCTCCCCCTTTGCCTTAAAATGGATGTGTAAGGCAGAGACTGGCCACAGCTCGTCCTGTAGAAAACCAGTCTGCGTCAAGCAGCTCCAAGGAGGGGCTGAGAGAAACGCAGTTTGAAGACACTTTTTCCAGAGCCTTCAGAACGTCTCACAAGCGAGCGGTGCTCTCAGCAAAGACCGCGGTGAGGTACCCCGGTGAGGCTGTTCTACGTGGTCCTGTACGTGCCCATCATGGCACGTAGCAATAGCCGTGATCAATCCTGATTTGACACCTCCGTCACATCCATCTTTCCCAAGAGTCATCTTCTATGAGTCAAAAGCAGCTAATCACCGAAGGGGTTTCCTAGCCGCCACAAAGGAGGTTTGGAAATGAAGGCATGAATTAAATGCATGAATGGAAGGAAGGAGGTGTGGAGGCCCAAGGTCAGAGATTAGGACGCATGCTCTCTAATGCTTTTCCTCTTGCATATTTCCACATCGGGACTAGGAGGTTCTTTCAAGGATGTCAGAAGTAGTGCTGAATGCGACTTGTTGTTTTCGTTAGGTGCCACAGAGGCCACTCAGACCCACCGTGGGCCCGCGTACCACAGAAGGAAACTCATCCCGTCTGGGGTCAGCCTCACAACTGTCTCACCACTTGTCTGTCCGTGTGTCCTCCCGTGGTGGCTGGTGTGTTGCTGTGATGCTGGAAGCTGTGTCACTGGCGTTTCAAATGCCAGCAGGGTCACCCACGGGGACCAGGTTTCCGCGGAGCTTCCAGGCTGAGAAGAGGTGACGTAATAGCCTCAGTTCCCACCTCGGGGGAAGAAGCCACTGAAACCCTAGTGCAGAGCTTCGAAAATGACTTCCTGAACATGAACTTCCATTTCCGAAATGACACTTTTAGAATCATCAGCCATGCAACTAGAAGATTTTTTAAAAAACAATAATGTTGTTTTTTCTGGATATACCTTAAGGTTAAGGAGTTCTGGGGGGCACTGTAAGTTCAGTGGCAGACTGCTAGCTAATTCAAAAGTTGACCATTGAAATCCACCAGCCATTCCCAGGGAGAAAAAGGAGGCTTCCTCTATTTATAGCTTCGGGACTCCTATATAAGGTCGCTAAAAGTTGGAATAAACTTGACGGCGGTGGGTTGGTTTGGATAGACCTTATAAAGAAAACAAAGCCAACACATTAGACCAACCAAAGCCGACTTCTGCAACAGACGGTCCTGTACCATCGTCTTCCTTAGGAGCACTTCCTGTGCCTTCCTCAGCTGCTTCCATAACAGAACCCCACTCTTTCCTGGGCTCTCGGTCAGCAGTTACACTGAGCACTTGTCCAAATGCTACTTGGACTGCTGGCGACGTTCTCCTGAGGCATCTTATCTCCGGAGCCAGAAGGAGGGCTCCTCGGCTCGTGACCAGTCTCAGACACGTACTGGTCACACCCATCCCAGGGCAACACTCTCTCATCAATGACCCTGTGGGAAGGAGTCTGGGGCCCAGCCCTTCGTTTTGCTAAAATACCTATGTCGTTGTTGGTGCCATCAAATGCCCTCTGACTCCTAGAAACTTTATGTTCAGCAAAACAAACTGCCACTTGGTCCCTCACTAGCCGGCCAGTCGTTGCTGGGTTTCAGTTCATTGCTGTAGCCACCGTGTCAAGGCATCTCGCCAAAGGCCTCCCTCTTTCTCACGGACCATCTGCTTTCGCACACATCTGGGCCTTCTCCAGCGATGATGCTCTCCCGCTGATGGAAGCAAAGCGAAAGAAACCAAGTCGCCCGACCCTTGCTTCTGAAGAACATTCTGGTGTAGATCCCTTCCTCCTTCTAGCGGTCTATGCAATGACCTATTTTCAGGAATCTTCTGTAATAATCACCTTTGGAAGCTACCAATGCTTCTTGGATCTTCCTTTGGCATTGTGCTTGTCCTTACCTATATGATGTCTGATTTCCTCTACCTGGGCAGGAAAAGAAGAGAACCGACAAAAGAACGAAAGGAAGGAAATATTCATGGGAAAGGCCCTGAGCCACTGACAAAGCCCAGCGCTCGGCCTTGCTTGCAGGCCTCCCCTCACTGGAGGAAACCCGGCAACCAACTGCTTTGGAAGAAAGGCGTCTCTTCTCCTTGTTGCCCCAAGAACACTCAGCCCAAGCCAGCAAGTCCCGAGAGATTGTTCTTCTGCTGAGACACTGCTCTGGACTTTCTTGAAGCGTCTGGGCATCTAATTTCCACTGTGGCTAGAATGGCCGTCTCTTGCTACAGTGAGGGCCAGACTTCCTGCAATCCCCTTCTCTCAATTGACTGAATCCAGGGCAGGTAACCCACAACTGCAAAGTCCCGATAAGAATTAAGGGTGCCCGGCGCCGAACCACAGTCCCCCAAAATGGAAAACAATAAAATAAGAAAAGATCTCAATCAAGACAGAAAGGCCTGGCTTTCCAAGTCAGAGAGGTGAGGAGAGGCAGTTTGGTCCCGGTTTCCCAGGGGTTCCTAATCTTCCAGAAGGCACTTGGAGTAGGGCAAAATCGTCTTGGGTACAAAGGCCACTGGCCCCAGCCCCCACCTTCTGAAACCCCTAGGGGAAAGGCCACATCGAAAGAAAAGCTCAGTTTGATGGGAGCCCCTCTCCCAGCCCCTTGCTCATCTCTCTGAGGAGACAGGCCCTGAGTGGAAAAGCAAACAGGCCCAGGCCAGGGACCCTGCCCTTTGGACCTTTTGCAATTCACTCCCAGCTCTGGAAACAGGGCGTCAGGACCGGCCCATATATAAATAGAGCTCAGGCACAGGCGGCCCAGTCCCACCTTCAGGCCTGCTGGACAAAAGACTTGACTGAGCGCCCACCCCTCTGGACCCCCTGATTCTGGGAGACACAGACCAGAGTGAGGGAGCCCCTCCCACCCACCGGGTCCGCCATGGGCCCACCAAGGCCCGCGCTCCTGCTGCTGCTGCTGCTGCTGCTGGCTGGCAGCGTCCCGGCCCGTAAGTACAGCGCGTGGACAGCGTCCACTGCTCCAGCTTGGGAGTGGGGGCATCCTTTCCCACTGGGGCAGCGCCCTCACCCCCACCTCTCAGCCGGGCGTTGAGGCAGTGTGAGACTGGAGGGATTGATTCAGTTCGAGGAGTTCCTTTCAGGGTGCTGGCCAAAAACCAGTGGCAGGGCACTAGATGGCATAGGTACCAGGTGAGAGGGAGGGCACCCTCTGGTGGGGACACCCACAGGGCCTGGGGACAGGGGACAGTACCAACTGGGAGTTTCCTCCAGACTTGAGATGGTGGGAGTGACAGGGGTGGGGAATGAATTGCCAGGAACGGATCAACTTTGGTCAAGGGGAAAAAGACCCCCACCGTGGGCCCTCCCTGCGGGACCCTAAAGCCCATCTGGGAAAATCGGAGAAAACCCCCATGTTCTTTCTGCTTGTCTTCCAGAAGAGGAGGCGCTGGAAAGGGAAAACGTCATCTCAAGTTGTCCAAGTAAGGCACTGCCCCCACCCCACGGATCACCGGAGAGTGCCCTGCCCCCACCGACCCATTCTTCGACACCTCTGCTCACCAAGCCCCCCACCTCTAGAGTGGTGCGATGCTGTGGCCGGTGTGCAGTGACCTGAACCCGCAGGAATCAAGTGCTGTCCTTGTCTGCCCATCCCCAAGGGCTCTCTCCTCCCTTCCCCCTGACCTTTTGTTCTGCCTCGGAAGTTCAGTCTGGGATGGGGGCGGATGGGACCATCGTGCTGTTGTTGACCCAGGGACAACAGGAGCACATCATCAGGTTCATCAATGGCTAATCATTGATTTGAAGGGCATGAGGGTGAGGAAATTCTGACTTTAACCTTTGTGCAAAACTCTAGTTTCCAATCTGCTCATATTTACCTGACCCCTAAGGGTCAGAGGGGCTGGCCTTAGATCCCCTTATAGTCACCTGAAAGCCCGGGGTTGACCTTGCATGGGGTAGCAGTGCCATCTAGTGGGGTTATGGTATCCCTGCACCGGAGTTCATGCTCTCGATGCCTTTATCATTTTTTCCCTCAAACTTTTTCAGAAAACTTCTCCGAAGTACACTAGAAATTTATTTCTGTAGGTTTCATAAACCATTCAGACAACCCTATTCCTTCATGAATTTTGCCTCAAGTATTGAGTAGAATAAAAACGTCTGAGACTTTTATTTCAAACTGGACAAGACAGTCGAGTTAGCATCCTTTTACTTAATGCTCTCAAATCTTAATTTTTGAGAGTCTCCTATTGATTTTCTGAGACCAATTCATTGACACCATCTTCCCGGCACCGCAGAGGACATATTCAAGAAATGCCAGTGAATGTCAACATAGTGTGGCTTTGAGTTGATTCTGACTCACCGCGACCCAAGAAGATGTGTCGTGGTTACACATCGGACGGCTAACCATGAGGTCAGACGCTCGAAGCCACGAGTCTCTCTGTGGGAGAAAGAGGAGCCATTCATTCTACTCTATAAAGAATGGCAGTCTCAGAAACCCACCAGGGCAGTTCTACGCTGTCCTTCAGGGTCCTCTGGGGTCACTAGGAGTCCGAAGGATGAGATGGCAGTGACTTTGAGTTTGGGTAACTTTCACGGGAGCACACTTGGACATCTTTCTTCCTTGGAGCATCTGGTGGGTTCGAACTGCCAAACCTTTTAGTTATCAACCATGCCCCTCACCCTGACAAGACCGGGCTTTCTCCTGAGCACAAACATAATCGTTGGATCTACAGGTGTACCTCATTTACGGTGATTCACTGGGTGGCCAGCCCTTTGCGGATATCGTGGTGTTTGGTTTTTTCTGTTCTTTGACACACGGAAGCTTCGTGGCAACCCTGGGCTGACCTGGACCCCCAGCACTGGGTTTTCAAAAGCATGTGTCCTTTCATATCTCTGTTTCACATTTTGGCAATTCTCTTAATATTTCAAATTTT